AATGAGGAGGTAGTAACGGTTTCATTCACTTTAAATGAATGTACATTTTCAAAACTCAACTGACTCGCCTCCCGGGGGCTGAAGGCACTAAAGACTTTTATCTCCAGGTTATTGTCAGTATTCCTTATGAAATCATGGGGATGGAGAAAGTACTAGGGGACGGAAGTGGCAAATGTGCCAGTTTCCAAAAAGGCATGGAGCAGATTGTGAAAAGTCAAGTCCGCTTCCTTAACCTGAGACTGTGGCTAAATTTGAAGAGATTGAAAAAATATAAAAATTTTGTAAGTGTTTAGAAAAGAACAGCATGATAAGCGTGAATCAGCGTGAATCTATAAGAACAAGATGTGCCGCCCCAGTGTCGTTCCCCTCCCCCACCATGCTGTAATGACTGCAGGAGCAGTCGTGTAATATCTTGACTTTAGCAAGTGGTTGGCCAAGTCTCTGAGACTATCCTTATGGAAAAGGCAGTGCAATTTTGACAATTTGATTGATTTACGGCTGGTTGCATGGCCACACCCACGCTGGCATACCCTAGGGCTTGTCTAACCCATGTCTCTCTACGCGGATTCCTCAGAGAGAATTGCTAGTGAATATTAATTTGAATATATTAAGAAAGTATAGATTTATAGTTAGGAGTTCTTTTGACTAAGGATTTGTATGTTGCAACTTGAGTGCCTGGATTTATTCTTATGATTGACATTTCGGTTACAGACTTTTCTGCACCTGAGCTGTATTGGTAAGATATATAGATCTATTTTTAAGTTTCATGAATAAACTTATAAATCACTTAGAAGTCAGGGAATAATCTTTTCTTTTCTTTTATAGCTTATTGTCAAGTTGGTTTCCACATAACACCCAGTGCTCATCCCAACAAGTACCCTCCTCCATGCCCATCCCCCTTTCCCCTCTCCCCCACTCCCATCAGCCCTCAGTTCTCAGTCTTCAAGAGTCTCTCGGGGCACCTGGGTGGCTCAGTTGGTTAAGCGCCTGACTTTGGCTCAGGTCATGATTTCGCGGTTCGTGGGTTCAAGCCCAACGTCGGGCTCTGTGCTGACATCTGGCTCAGAACCTGTTTCAGATTCTGTGTCTCTCTCTCTCTCTGACCCTCCCCCTCTCATGTTCTGTCTCTCTCTCTGTCTCAAAAATAAACTATAAAAAAACTTTTTAATTAAAATAATAAAGAGTCTCTCATGGTTGCCTCCCTTCCTCTCCCCAACTATTTTTTCCCCTTCCCCTCCCCCATGGTCCTCCGTTAAGTTTCTCCTGTTCCACATATGAGTGAAAACATATGGTAGCTGTCCTTCTCTGCCTGACTTATTTCACTCAACATAACACCCTTGAGTTCCATCCACGTTGCTACAAATGGCCAGGTTTCATTCTTTCTCATTGCCTTGGAGTATTAAGTCAGGGAATAGTTTTAACACTTAAAGGCTGCCTGGGTGGGAGGCTAAATTATGAAGAATCTTTTCTCTTACTTGTTTAGTGACAACTGTATTAACCCCAAGTAAACGTTTTTCATACCCTTGAAATGTCAAGTTTCTCTGAAACTCTGCCTAAATAAAAGAAGTTTATATACAACTTGATAATATAGTTATACTCAGTCAGTGTTTCTGGGAGTTTATGTTTCTGTTGGCCTTCCAGTAATTCCAGAGTCATCTGCCTACTTAGGATATTTGTGCCTTTTTAAAAATTTTAAACAAAACAAAACAAATTGCCTGGAATATGATCCAAGAGAGAACCATAATATTCTGTCCCCTTACAGATGTTCTTTTGGTTTCTTGAGGCAAGGAAGTCCCTGATGACCACTACATCCAATATATTTTACTATTAATTATTAATCCTAAAGAAAGCCAACCCATATAAGTTATTAATCTTTTAAAATTGACATTTCAGTGATGTTTGTATTATTTTGTCTCCAACTTTGAAGGTGGATGGTTTTTTGAATGACTTGCACATTTTAAATGAAAGATCACATTTATGAAACTGTCCCTCACCCTTTTCTTTGTAACTATTCATCTCCGTGTTGAGTCCAGAATCTCAGCAGGGGTTGCAGGTGATAATTGAGAGTGCAGCTCTAGCCCTGATATTCCTGGGTATGATTCTTGGAATCTAGTTCTTTCTGCTCTCCCTGGCCTGTCAGTCTAAGATTTTGTAGGCCCTTGAAACAGAAAATGAGGTGTTTTAACTTCATATCCACCTTAAGAAACCCCTGTGTGCTGTAACTCGTGGTCTGTGATATTTATTATGACTCTTTCATCATCTCTGATGTTTTTAAATGTTTTATTTATTTCTGAGAGAGAGGGAGAGGCAGCGTGAGCAGGGGAGGGTCAGAAAAAGAGAGTGAGACAAAGATTCCGAGGCAGACTCCAGGCTCTGAGCTAGCTGTCAGCATAAAGCTGGATGTGGTACCTGAACCCATGAACCGTAAGATCATTACCTGAGCTGCAGTCGGACACTTAACCGACTGAGCCACCCAGGCGCCCCTCATCATCTCTAATTTAATGGTTGTTATTTTAATTGGAGTAAAAATCCAATCTGAGGGGTGCTTAGGTGGCTCAGTCAATTAAGTGTCCGACTTCGGCTCAGGTCATGATCTCACGGTTCATGGGTTTGAGCCCTGCTTGCGACTCTGGGCTGACAGGTCAGAGCCTGGAGCCTGCTTCAGATTCTGTGTCTCCCTCTCTCTCTGCCCCTCCCCTGCTCGTTCTCTGTCTCTCAAAATAAAGACATAAAAAAATTTTTTTTTAAAAATCCAATCTGAACCCCTAGCATTTTATACTTACCTCTGTGCGCTCTACCATATGGTACAGAAAAGTTTCAAATTAAAAAACAACAACAACAAAACCTTGAGTTAAGAAGTATTGACTCAGATGGTCTGTTTGAATCACACAGGCATTATCCTTTATGCAAAGAGAATATATTCATGAAAGTATGTTGGATAGCAGGTTTTTAGATATTGGAGCCTGTACTATATTCTCTTAAATGGAAAAAAAACAATGATGCATTCTCTCTCAATTCATTAACTCTAAATGTCTGCAAATATCACAAAGACTTTTCAGCACATATATGACAATCCATCAAAGCTTTTGTACAATATTTATTACAAGGCATTTGGAACACACCTTGCCTATTTTTTAAAGTACTTAATAAACTCATCATTAGGTAGGGTTTTGTTCAATAAGAAGTGAGACTGTACAGTATTGATTATGAATTCGGTTTTTCACCCACCCGGCAATGAGCAAGTGCTGTGATACAAATAAGAAACGGCAGTACATGATTCCGTTGGAATGGAACTCGGGTTGGTGGAGCTCCTGAGTGCCCAGCAGAAGCCCCTTCTGGGAGCAGGGAGTCTTCTGCGTTATCCCTGTAAATATCTTCCAGGCTTTCCTCTTTGATCGCAGATGTGTCTCTCTTCCTCAGCAGGCAAAACAGGGGCTTTTTGGTTTGTGTTTATTAGTTTAGGATCCGAATGTTGTTTCTATTCTTGAGCAGCACCCTGGTTTCCTGCTTATATTAACACCCTCTCTTTTGGTTTTGCTTGTTTGTACCTGTGAGAAAAGACCAAAAAGGGGAGGATTAGAAATGCTCCATTATGGAATAAGAGTTAAAAGAATGAACTGATCTGCAGTAACCTTTTGGCTTATCTAACCTCATCATAATTAAGCTGTTCCAAATAGACAAAGAGTGTATTTGAATCACCTAGTCATTTCTTACTCAGTACAGCAATCCATTTTGTTTTAGCAGTGCTCTTTCGTAATCATGGGAAGCCTTATCTAATGGACAGTGTTTGGATTGCTTTTATTTTCATTTCAAGTTCAACCTTTACTATAAATTCACTGCAGTCAGATCTCTGCAGTCATACAGTTTTCTGCTTCACATTTCTCAGAGACCTCCAATAATCCTTTTTTAAAAAAAGTCTCCTATTTTCCCTACAAATAAGGGGAAACAATCTTTTATTCTCTTATTTATTCAAATTGTATCTAAGAGTCAGGTGAGGGGACAGAAAATGCCCGTTCAGATAGGCAGAAGGCTCTGAGGCAGAGCCCATTTGGCTGACCAACACAGGTGGACGCATGGTTGGTGTAGACGCTGGCGTGAACAGGTCGGGGTCAGAGATGGCTGAAGCTAGAACATGTGGAAATTTGGATTTTTTTATTGCAAATGCGATAAGAAGTCATTGGGGGTGGGGTAGCTAAACAAACCGGTGATTTTCTGGTTTATGTTTGAAATCTCACTCTGGCAGCCATGCGAATGGTGGGAACCAGAAGGAGGCAAGAATGGATGTAGGGAGACTGTAGAAGGCTGTTACAGCATTCCAGATGGGAAATGACGCTGGCTTAGATTAGGGTGGAGGTGATGGGAATGGAGAGAAGTGGGCAGTAGGGATATGTTTGGAGGTGGAATTGACAGAAGTTGCTAATGGAGTGGATCTGGGGCATAGATGTGAAAAGGAGAAACCAGAAACTTCTGATGACTTCTAGCTTTTGGGTTTCTTCTACTAGGTTGACGGTGCTATAATTTGCTAAGACAAGGAAAACTAGCATAGAGGACATGTTGGGAGAGGGTGGAATTAAGAGTTCTGTTTTGAGGTGAAGATTTGAGGTGTTTATTTGACTTTCAAATATATCTGCAATATAATGAATTAGTTTGATGGCTTTGGAGCTGGGTGGATATAGGTCAGGGATGGAGACATAAGGACCTAGAAGTTACCAGTATGTAGATGGTATTTAAACTCAAAGATGGAACTTACCTTGGGCATTTGTCATATTCTCTGACCTATACCTTTTCCCTCCCCTACTACTGTAGAATTACGCCCACATTGTATATTACATGTATGTATGTTATATTACTATAATTTGTTTTTAATGAAACAATGTTTTTAGCAAAATACTCTGGTTTCATTTTCCTGTTTACAGCTAAAAGCTTTAAGGGTATTTAGTCACTAGCATCAATATCTAACTGGAGATCTAACAGTAAAGTTTTTTTTTTTTTTTTTGTAGGTAAAGTCATTAATAAAGATTTGCGACATTACCTGAGTCTTCAGTTTCAGAAAGGATCCATTGACCACAAATTGCAGCAAGTGATCAGAGATAATCTCTACTTGAGAACCATTCCATGTAAGTATGAGATTGAATAAAAAAGAAAGGAGGCCAGCACATCATTATTTAATTAATCAAACACATAGAAATGATTCAGTAGAGTGTCTTATGAAACTGGGAAGATTAAGTTGGGACACTAGATTGAAACAAATATTGGATAAGGGGAAACATTTTCAGAGGACGTGCAGGGCTTTTGTTTCTAGAGTAGAAAAGCTAGAAGATTCTATGTTGTAACTTCGAAAACATCACCTAGGCTTTAAGAGTTTAGGAATAACACAGGTACATTTTGCTAACCAGATTTTCTTTTATGAATCAGTCCCTAGAGTTTATCAGTAAGAAGACTTTTTTTGCTCTCAATGCCTTGTACACTGAGAATAAGCATTTTTGTATTAATTATTAGGACATTACTAACTTTTAAGATCTGCCCCTCAAAGAAAAGAGGTAGCATGCTCACTCATCTTTGTGTTGATTTATTTTAAATTTTTATCTAGATGTTTGTATATCTATTCCAATTGCCATAGTATTCATAGGACCTGGTTTTGTTATAATGATGTGTGTGTGTGTGTGTGTGTGTGTGTGTTTTGATCCCATAACAAGAAATCACGTATGCTTACATTTTGGTTTTAGTGCAAGTTGAGGAAGAGTATAGGCAGTAAACAATAAAAAGGCATAAAAAGATGTTCCATTGTGTTTTCATTTTCAATATATTTGTAACTCCTTGTAGATAGTAGCTCTTTTAATGGCTCTGAAATTTATTTTTTTCTTGTTACTTACTCTTACGCAGTGCCCAGTCCATCACCAAGCCTTCCTAGTCACATTCCTTCAATATCGATCCTCTGTGCTACCTTAGACCCTCACCCTTTCTTGCTTGGACTTTTTTTTTTTTTTTTTTTTTTAACAACAAATAGTATTATGTAGGGGCAAAGAGCTAGATAAAAATTTTGATCCTTGAACAAGTTACTTTAATTTTCCTGAACCCCAGAATCTCCATATATAAAATGTGAGTAACAAGAGATACAGTTATTACAATTAAAATGAGAACATGAATGCAAACCACCTGTCCTGGAGTAGGCTCTCGGCGTCTATCCCCTTCCCCATTCTAACTGCAGCCCTGCTTCCACCCACATCCCCTCTGCCCTGTCTGTCTTTAAAGTGCACGCCTGGGGGCGCCTGGGTGGCTCAGTCAGTTAAGCGTCCGACTTCGACTCAGGTCATGATCTCATAGTTCATGGGTTCGAGCCCCGTGTCGGGCTCTGTGCTGAAAACGAGCTCAGAGCCTGGAGCCTATTTTAGATTCTGTGTCTCCCTCTCTTTCTCTGACCCTCCTCTGCTCATGGTGTCATTAAAAAAAAAAAAAATGTGAAAGTGCACGTCCGACTGCTGTCCATCTACAGTTTATCCTTCAAAATCTCTCAGTACAAATCCAGGCTCTTTAACCTGGTCTAAACTTTTGTGTTTTTAAAAAAATTTTTTTAACGTTTTTTTTATTTCTGAGACAGAGAGAGAGAGAGGGAAGGAGGCAGCATGAGCAGGGAAGGGTCAGAGAGAGGGAGACACAGAATCTGAAGCAGGCTCTAGGCTCTGAGCTGTCAGCACAGAGCCCGATGCGGGGCTTGAACCCACGAACTATGAGATGACCTGAGCCAAAGTCAGATGCTTAACCAACTGAGCCACCCATGCACCCCTGTGTTTTGTTTTTAAATCCAACTCCTTATCTATGATTCCCTCCTAGAAACCTGCATTGTCAGATTTCAGAATTGCAGCTCCTGCCTTTTTTCTTTGCATTTGCCTAGTATATCTTTGTCTTTTTATTCTTCCATCTTTCTGAAACTCTTCCTTGTACAAATAGTGTTGGAGACTCTGTAGCCAGTGTGAAGCTCCCTTTATATTTATGTATTTATTTTTTAAAATGTTTTATTTATTTCTAGGAGAGAGAAAGAGAGACATCGTGAGCAGGGGAGGGTCAGAGAGAGAGGGAGTCACAGACTGAAACAGGCTCCAGGCTCTGAGCTGGCAGTCAGCACTGAGCCCGACGCGGGGCTCGAACCCATGAACTGCGAGATCATGACCTAAGCGAAAGTTGGACGCTTAACTGACTAAGCCACCCAGGCGCCCCTCTCCCTTTATATTTATTGATGTGATCAATGTGTTAAGTCTCTGTTTTGTTACGGCTTTATGTTTTACCCATTTATACATCTTTCATACAAAACCTTTCATCCTGTCTATTTTATTTGATCTCTCTCTTTTTAGAAATGTTTGTATCCTTATTCTAATGGCTACCTTAATATCTTTATGTAATACTCTATTCCTCCTCCCTTCCTATTTTTGTTTTTGTCCCAACTGTGAGCAATATTAAGTGATCTAGTTATTACTTCTTCCTCTCTCCCATCATCTGACTTGAAATAATATCTTGTTACTTCAAACAAATACATTCAGCAAGCTTCTCATATGCTTTCCCCATTTTCACCATTTTTTGATACCTGAGCTATGTCTATATTAACAAAGCAAACAGCCATTACATACTGTGCTCTCACCTCTACAGTCATCATTTATTCTTTATCCTGGGGGCAAATACGTACTGAATCTAACTGCCAATCCTTATGTTGTTGGTTCTTCACTAACTGTGGTTTTCTAAAGCTTCTTCTCCACTTGATTTCCCAGGAAGGAGTCAGAGGATCATCGTAGTTGGTCGGTGGCCTTCATACTTTTAAGTTTGGATGTATCTGAAATCTTTGGTTCATATTTTCTTTCCTTGACTGTCTTAACTCTATTAGTCAATTGTTGTCTTATGGCATAAAGCATTGTTCTTTAAAAGCCTGAAAACAATCTCATTTTCATTCCCTTCTAAGTAACTTGATATTTTGCCTGCGCGGGGTATCTCAGGGTAGCATTTTTAGTTTCATAGCTCTAGAGCTCCCTCTTCCCTTGTTAAAACAAGTTAATAAAAATACGTACTTGTACTTTCTGCTGTATTCTGCACTTTTACTTGGATCTTCTTTTAAGTGTACTTGTACTGTCCTAGTTTCGCAGTTCTCCCTCAGTGTGAGGTGCTGTCCTAGAAAGGAGCTGTGGTTTATCCAGGTTTAATTCACTGGATCCAAACAGCTGCAGCCTTTTCAGACCCTAACAGAACCTTAACCTGCACACTGAACGTGTCCAGATCTCCTCCAAGCAGGCAGTGATATATCAGTAATCATGCGCACACCAAAAGGTCTGTAATGACCATTCTTTACTAAAAGATAGTAAATCTTTGTGGGGAAAATTCTGATTCCAGGTCTGGGGCAAGGAAAGTCCAAGATGAGCTTGGAACATCTAATTGAACCCGAAAGTATGTAAATGTCTAACTATTGGGACATATCAGAAGCACATAAAAAGAAAAGCCATCTAGAAGGGGTGCCCACTGACAAAATGAGTAAGAGAAAGAAAGACTTCTCCCATTGGCAAACACTGCCTGTAGAATGGACAAGACTGTAATCCCTGAGAGAAAGGAGATTGCACACAAAGGAGTACTATGGTTTCCTCAGCCTTCTGCCTAGAGGCACTTTCTGGGCCATAGCACAGGGAGGGAGAGCTCAGGCAGAGTACGGAGGATCCTGAGTTGAAGGGACAGAAATCTGAGTTCAAGAAGTCTAAAGAGCCTGAGGACGGTGACAGAGTGGAAAGAGCTGTGAAGAAAAGGAGCTCAAATAATCTGCACAGGTGCCCCCTTGAGTCTTTTGTGGAATACTAACTAAGCTGAGAATGTATAGGATGAGACTCCTCGTGGCCAGGCAAAGACTCTCTGGAAACTGTAAGGTTAGCAGTTTCCAGAGCTTACATAGGACTGGGAGAATCTGAGTTCTAGCCCACCTGAATAAAGAGACCTCATAAGGTCATGGCTTACTAGTAGGGCTAAAATAGGTGTAACCTCCTTGGAGCCCACTTTAACAGAGTTTAATTAAGCAAGCCCTGAAAGGATCAAGCAAATATGCATATAACTTAACTGTTAGGAGAAGGAAAGGAGGGAGAAAGGGGGGGAGGGGAGAGTATCAACACTCTTTAAAGGAAGACAACAAAATCTTGACACTGAATAACATATTATTTAAATGCCCAGTGTCTTATAAAAAATATTATATAAAAAGAAAATGTGGCCCATAATCAAAAGAAAAGTTAGCTGAAAGAAAAAAACAAAACACAAATATAAACAGGTATCACCATACTACACATTTAGAGTTATAAATATGATCAAGGATTTAAAAAGCCATATGAATAAAATTAAGAGAAAATGGAATTTTTAAAAATGTTTATTCCTTTCTCAGGGTGAAAGAGACAGTGTGCAAGCAGGGGAGGGGCAGAGAGAAAGGGAGACACAGAATCTGAAACAGGCTCCAGGCTTCGAGCTGTCAGCACAGAGCCTGATGCAGGGCTCGGACCCACAAGCCATGAGATCATGACCTGAGCCGAGGTCAGATGCTTAACTGACTGAACCACCCAGGCGCCCCAAAAAATGGAATATTTTTTTAAAGGACTAAATGGGACTTCAGAAATTCACTGGATAGGCTTAACAGCAGGTTAGAAACTACAGAAGAAAAGATCAGTGAACTTGAAGACAAAGCAATATAAATGAATCAAACTGAAACAGAAAGGAAAAAACTAAAGACATAAATTATTTTTTTAAGTAACCAGAGAGAGACATTTCTACTTCTGCCATGAATGAGTAACTGGTACTGGATTTACCTTCTTACTGTAAACAACTAGAAATTGGTCAAGATATATGTAACAGCTATTTTCAGAAATTGGGTTATTTATAGGCAGAACAGAACTTGTTCATATTGAGCAGTGCATACTGTCAAAGCAAAGAGGAAGAGGAAACAGAAAAAAAAAACTATGAAATAAGCTAAAAAATTTTTAAATTTGATGAAAACTATAAATCCACAGAGCTGGGGGGATCTCAACAAACCCCAAGCAGAAGAAATAACACATCTAAGTATATAATAATCTAATTGCTGAAAACCAGTGATAGAGAAAATGTGAAAGGC